CCCTCTCTTATCCACCAAGCCGGAATGTTTACTTACATTATTTACTACCATGGTGTTGAGTAACTATGACTATCATGAAAACAGTAAATCTTAAAATTAATTATTACTGCATAGAAGGAAATGGTCTGATAAGCAGGCTCATCTGGGAGAAGTCATTAGCATTTATATAAGGGAGTGTGTGTGCGCACGTGCATGTGTGTGTGTTGGGGTTTTGGGGTTTTTTTCACCTGTATGCCCGGGTAGCCAGGTTGTCCAGGAAACCCAGCAAATCCTGTTTCCCCCTGGAAAGGATGACATAAATATTATCTGAGTAATCTGTTAAGATATATAATTAATTGAACAACCCCCTGTAAGGCAGTCATATAATACTGGCATGTTATAATAGCATCCACAGTTTGTTTCAGAAAATGGATTTGTACCAGAAATGGTATGTTTTGTAGACTTTCTTCTGTTAAAAAAACCAAAACCAAAAACCAACCAACAACCCCTCCCCCCCAGAAAAAAACAAAACCAAAACCAAGCAAACAACAAAAAACCCACAACATGTACTGGTTATTTAGACAGAAGTCAGTGGATTCAGTGTAGCTGGAGCACAGAACTAGCTGGAATACATACTAGCAGATTCTTACAGACTATCTGCTTAATGCAGCTGAAATAGTTTTGCTGCCTGCTGAATGACCCTCTTAAACTATTATTGCATGGAAAGCAGCTGCACATCAGCTCCTCCTCTCCTTTTATGATCTACTAATATACTCATCCATCCAGTATTCAAACTCTCTAAGTAGACAGTTGTTAAGAAAAAAAAACACAAAACCAAAGTAAAAATAATTTTGCAGGTAAAAGTCACCTGGAACACAAGTCTAGATGCAAATATCTGTACATTAATTTGATTTATGGATAGCATGATCATTACCTTAACTAGATTTGAAAATAAGCTGGGAAGAGGAGCTATAGGAAAAAAAGGGCAAGATGGAGATCTATGTACCTACATCTGTTGTTCTTTATTCCAATAAGATGTTTTAAGTTCCTAACTTAACATTTAGCAGACTTAACAGCAAACCTGGAATTTCTTGAGCCATAAAGATGAACAAAACATGCATATAACACAAAATTACACAAACACTGTCACCATGGCAATCACAGTTAACATGCTGCATATTCTATCATGCTATATGCATGTCCCACTGGCCTTTCCTCCTGCTTGCAACTTCAGATCCCATTAGCCAATTTCAGCCAAATTTCAGAAAGTAGCAGAAATTCACAGACAAAGAGTTCATACAAATTCATTGATCACAGGTAGCAGGAGAGAAAGGAAGGAATGCAATGTGAGCTGTCAAGTGTGCAGAAATTCCAAATCTGCACAAATCTACAAAAAAACCCCAAATCTCACTGATGCCACTGCTTAGAGAGATGTTTATACTTCATGTGTTCTTACCTTCATTCCAGGAGAACCTGCAGGTCCGTAAGAACCAGGATCACCCTAATAAAAGCGAGTAGAATGTGAGCCAAACCAGTAGAAGTTTATTCAGAATTACACCTATTCAGAATTGCTGAGCAGTCAGTGTTCCTGAGAAAATTATCACATGGGATATTTTTCCAAAAACTGCGAAGTTTTTGCAACTACTTTACATGAGAGGTGAGTATGAATTTGAACTATAGATCAAAATAAACCAGACAGGTCTTCACCTAATTTTTTTATCATATTCCGTCCAGTACAGTATTGGACATGTTGCTCCATGTGAGCACTGTTATGCAAATCAAGCACAGGCTGCTGTAAAAAAACTGGCATCAGCACGTATGGAATGCATTAAAATTACTGTGCTAGTACAGTAAGCAGAGAAGCTTAGTGCAGCTCTAAATATTTAGAGGATAACCCCAGTGATTTACTTTCTTTCCAAGAACAGAAAGTCTGTATGACCTTATGTGTAAGTATGAGAGAGGGTGAGTTTCAGGGCAGGACTCCTAAATATTCTATAAAGTATGACAAATTAGTTTAAAAAGTACTTAACATCTTCCTTAGAAATGTAAACTTAAATTTCCAAATATATTATGAACCTAATTATAGTGAATTTGTGAAGTAATTAAGTCCACAACTTCCTTACCCGCAATCCAGGGAACCCAGGAATGCCTTTTTCACCTTTTTCTCCTCTCCCCAGTATACCCTGAAACATTCAAAATACTTTGTTTCAACAAGATGCTTGATGAAGTTTGCCAGAAATTTTAGTCTTTGTGCATGTTTATTAAGTCATATATATATTAGGTTAATGGATCTCGTTGCACTTGCTAGGCCCAGTCACAGGGGCTTACTTCATACAGCACCGCTAGCAGGCCTATATAGCAAAGCTCTGGGCATCTTTTGGGCTGCATCAGCCAATTTCTCAGTTCCTGCTTATTACTAAAAAGTATGCTATTATCTACATGGACAGCTAGTACTGGACTATGCATGTAAGGTCCATCTTTTTCAAAGTAAATCTGATACAAGAAGACTGGTTTTGTCTGTTTTTCCAGTGCTAAGTAACAGTGGTCCTTTTATGATGGAAGACAAATTTCTGAAAAAGTTCTAGACTTAGAACTCAGCAATGTGATGTTCAGGCTTCCAATTTCTTCTGCCTACAAAGCTAAATATTTTTTAACATAAATTAGACTCATTCTTTAGTCCCAAATTATCTTCTGTTTTTCTGAGACCTGGTAGTTTCCTTCCTGTGCACTTCCATAATTTGAAGTGAAAGTCCTTCCCTAACATACTTCGGGAAACATGGATCATCCTCCATTAAGAGCACACAGATCTTCTCTATTTTTCTTGATAAAAAATATTCTGCGCTTCTGTCTTCCTCACAGTCCCAGTCTGTTATGTGTCAATAGCCCAACTGGAAACACCACTGACCTTTCGCTACCAGGCAACACTCAGTAGGTACCTATAAAACAGACTCAGAAAGGTTTTTGAAAGGGTTTTGAAATATTTTTGCTTTCACGCTGATTTAGGTGGTGGTTAAATTTCACAGTGCAAATGCTGTTATGTCTTCCATCACCTTGAGCTTTAAAAGGACTCTGCCAGCATCATGAAAAAAAGAAAAAAATCACGTTACTTACTTTGGGTCCACGTGGCCCTCTGTGTCCTGTTACCCCAGGTAGTCCTTTTTGGCCCTACGTATACAAGGAAAGTTTTTGTGTATATTAACATGCAGGACATGCCTATGTGCTGTCTAACTTAATTGAAGTCCTATTCTTAATTACAAATGTTAAATAGTATTTTCTTAAGCACAGGGCATCTCTCTTTAGGTGTACTAGGCAGAAATAAAACAAGAAGAATAATTATGCGCTGATTTTCATTTCTGTTAACACTGTCAAACCAGATTAATGATTGTGGGGTGAGGTAGATTTATCTTTTCATTTTCAGGGACCTGCTTATCAGGGTTTTGTATCTACAAGCATATACGACAGTAGTTCTGTTTTGTTTGCTGCTCTATTTAGTTTGATGCAAGTACTCACATGCATAAATCTACACTTCTGTGCACAGCCCCAATCTGAATGGGATGCATAGCTGACTACATAGTCATGATCATGTCATATGTTGCACAGCAGCATATGTCACACTTTGCAGTAATATGGGGAGTTTACCCAAATTCATTTGGTCCTTTTCCTCTTCTTCATACACCTGTACATAGCAATAATTTGCATAACCAAAGCCTAAGATCCAGTATCTTAAATTTGTCAGTTCCCTGAGCTGAAGCTGCAAGGGCTGGAAATGCCAAATTCACCTTTTCATTTGTGTATTTGAACCAATCAGACTTGAGGACATAAACACTTCAACACAGGGCTCTGTAATGCAGTTTTTGTAACTCCTGTTTTTCTTAAAGAAACATTATAATGTTTTAAGGTACACAATTGTAGCTACAGTAGGCATGACACCGAAGTATTACAGTAAATAACAGGAACTTGCTTTAAAAATAGACAACAAAATCACACTTAATTTTCAATTAAAAGAGCATCCTAGAAGTTAGGGTTGATAGTTCAAAACATTACATTGGAGAAATCTCGAAGAGAATAATTGCCAAAGATCTGAAAAATGTGTGTTAGTAAAGGGCCACAGAAGAGATTCAATAGTAAAGTAAGAAACTTTACCTGAAATGCCTGAAATATGATTTTCTAATGGCAAAAGGTGAAGGCAACCAAAGCAAGGGCAGTACCTCCTTTCTGCATCAAGACAGTCGTCCCTCAAGGACATGAGCTAAAGTACACATGGGCTCTCCTTCCTGAGACTGTAGGAAGGGTGCTGAACAACAGGATTGATTTCTGCTGAAGCTGACGGTTTCTTACAGAAAGATAGATTTGTCTTACGCCATCCTTGCAAAAATTACATCACAGGATTGTACTTGCCAAGTTAAGCACAGTTAAATATGAAGACAAATTAACACCTTTTCTCCTTTGAACAGATGAGCTCCAGGAGGTCCAACTAACAGTGGTGACCCAGGTGGCCCTGGAAGTCCAATGTCACCCTGTGGAAGCCAAAGGAATAGCAGAGAAACATTTTGTTCCATACAACGTTTCAGTGGGACTCAGCATGTTTTCCTATTGTACTACAGCACTACACGTTTCTGTAGTCATTGAACGTGTTCTTGTACTAGTAACTCTAGATAAAAGGTTTGTATTGCCATCCGTAAGCCTCTTTACTGTCTTCCCAGATGAACAAGGCTGATGATCCTAATCCCCTCCTATTCTCTTCAACCATTAAAAATAACATTATGGCTAAAGAGATATATGAGAACCCTGTACTCATGGCTCCTGCTCTGAGTATCCTGTAGAGATAGTTACAGGATTGTCAAATCTCTTGTGTGCACACAGTCTCTCATGTTCCAAACTGAAGCCTTTCAGCACAAGGCTTTGTGAGTGCAAAGATTAAATTATTGATTTGCTATGGAAAGTTGTGCATGTTAGAAACTTGCATAAATTCCAAGTTGTCACTGGACAAATTCACAGAAGAAAAACCAAATATACCTCATTAGTTCTGTAAGTCCTGAGTATGCTAATAGGTGGAAACTGGGAGATAAACTATTACTATGTGTTTCTCCTTTTCTTAACCCTTTCCTTGGCACCTGTTGCTGGACATAGCAGGAGAGGAGATTCAGTGACTGATCTGGTACAGCCACTGTTACTGGTGTCTACTGTTGTGTTCTGATTATTTAGGCAGTGTCTGTACAGAAGGTAATTGCTAAATAAATGCTAACTAACATATTGATTGTTGCTTTTCAAAACCTCCAGAATACACTTGATTCCTGTATACAGCTCACTGAAGGAATCACTTCTGCACAGAATTTGATTCAATAACGTAATTCGCTTCTCCTTCCATTCTAACACGCTTAGTGGGAGCACACAGCTGCACATGAATGGGTTCCAGGAAACCCGGCAAGACTCTATTATACTTCTAATTCCACAGCAATGATATACTTAATAATATTTGTTTTCTTACCGGTTCCCCCTTTTGACCATCCACTCCAATACCTGGATTTCCCTAATTGAGAGAAAACGTGCACAGGTTGAAGATAATCAGAAAATGCTGAAAGTAGAATTCAATCAAATAACTCCTTTGAAAAATTTAGTAACAAGTAACCATAAGGGACATTTCAAACATTTGTATAAATTACTCTATTATTTCACTAACAACTTCAGGAAAAATCATGGCCTACCTGTTCACCTGGCAAACCGGGGTAACCTGGAATACCCTTTAGAAGAGAACGAAGACAAGTTAGTATGTCTGATTTAGGCAGTTTTGCTTTGAAAATTACATACTCTTGCCAGTAGCACCTAGAGGCAGAATTTCCTCTTGGGATGAGGAAAGTGCAATCTACTTCACCTGGTCACTGCTTTCAGGAGGGCTGATCTCTGGCTTCCCACTTTCCTGACCCCCACAAGGTGGACTTGGGGAAAGGGAATAAGGAGAAAGCAGTAGCAGCATTCCTCCATTACCACAGACTGCCAGATGAAATGTGTTCACCCAGGCATGGGAAGGAACAATATATGCTCCAATTCCCGAACTTCCAAACTCATGAGGTAAGGCAAAAATCTATTTTTTTATTATCTGCCTCAAAAATTATTTCTAGGCCTTGATTCACATTAAGGCAAGTTCTAAAATTGGTAGATCAGAATTTATGCATGTCCTAAAAATGAAGGCTATATAACCGTGGTGATCTTACAGGCAAGCCTGGTTGGCCTGGGTATCCAGATGCGCCCATTGTACCTCTCGACCCTATAGGTCCCTGAAAGAGATGGCAAAAGGTCTGTTTGTGAAAATACCAAGAGCTTACCCTTTTGTCCACACAACTAGTCCCTCCAGAATGCCTGCATCACCTAAAGTCAGTCTACTGGCCATTACATTCCACCCGTGATCTGAAGTTTATACGCATCTGATACCTCACTGTAACTAGAGCTCAGCACCAGTTTCTGGATAGTACTGTACAGATACTGGACAATGCACAGTTACATGTTGTTAATGGATTGAAAGAATACTTTGGCAGTAATTGTGCTACAGTGTGGGGACTTGATACAGTTCATTAGTGAATAATATTTTAGAGGGCAAAAGAAGAGGAACCCAAAGCCATTAAGAGTGTGAGTCAGCAACAGAATTAATCTCTCTCTTTGCATGTTTTTATTGTCAAAATATGGTAGCGTATGCTACGTGTTCTTGGGAGATCCTCCAGATACTGTTGAAGAAGGTGTCACCTCTCTACGTGTTCTGAATTTAATGGAGAAAATATTCTATAAACTGCAAGTACCAGGGCAATAACTGCTCAATGCAGATGGTTATGGTCTGCTTCTGCTCCTTTTCAGCCAGTGTGAACTGGTCATGGGGACAGACTATAGGGACTCTATGTTTGTTAAGACTTTATTCAGGAATTTTGCTAGATAAGGAGGGCAGGGAGAACGCCCAGTATTTTTTTATTGTACTAAGAAGGAAAATGTGAAAGGTCTTTGAGACAAAAAGCATTTATAGAACCCACTGACTGTACTTACAGGCATGCCGGGGGGTCCAGGATCACCTCTGTCTCCCTATAACGACAATCATTTAGCAAATGAATCATTACAGGCTTTTTGTGGGTATTTTCTAACTTTATAGCTACTAAGATCACAAGCTGTATGTTCCAGTTGTACATTTGCTTTTAATCTTTCTTTTTGCACAAAGGTTTATTAAAGTATGGGAGTAATGGAAAAATTACTTTTGCCATGAATGTTTTCCTACAAGATATGATTTTTTTCACAATCATATACTTACCGGAGGTCCTTTTCCAAAATGTGAAACATACACTGAATTTCCTTTTTCTCCTTTTTGCCCTGGATTTCCCTTTGAAGAAAAAAAAAAAAGAAGTCTTTTAAAACATGATCCACATACTGATATCTTACATTTCTATGGAGAATGAATGATAATTTCTCAGGTTATGTTTTCTGGTGCCCCTGCATCACTAGGTAATCCACTAGAATCATGCATGAGCATTTTGCAGTTCTTTTATCTCACAAGACCCTTAAAGTAAAACTGCCTTCTTTACAGCTGAGCAAAACAGCTTCTCACAGCTTCTGGACTCCTGCTCTCTTAGATGATCCTTAGCTCTTGGGTACTTCAATATTGTACCATCTTTGCAAATCTTGCTTTTAGTATCAAGTATATAGAATCACAGAATGGTTTGGGTTGGAAAGGACCTTAAGATCATCTAGTTCCGTGCCCCCTGCTATGGACAGGGATGCCTTGCATTAGACCATGTCACCCAAGGTTCTGTCCAACCTGGCCTTGGACACTGCCGGGATGGAGCATTTACAATTTCTTTAGGCAACTAGTTCCCGTACCTCACCACCCTCACAGTTAAGAAATTCTTCCTTACACAGGAAAGAATTTCTTCCTCATACCTAACCTGAACTTCCCTGTCTAAGTTTAAACCCATTACCCCTTTTCTGTTGCTAGCCTGCCTGATGAGGAGTCCCTCTCTGGCACCCAAATATGCCTACCTTTTCTTTCAGTAAGTATTTTAAGTATTAACACTTTGCTCTGCCTCCTCCAAAAGATCATGCTGTGATTTAGAAGAATCTAGTGTGATTCTGCATACAGTTAAAAAGATCAATATATGGACTGTGTATGAAAGTATGGACTGTGTTACATACATAATATTCAACATTTCCATCTATTAGGAACTATGTTTCACAGTCTATTAAACAAATAAAAATCTGATGCCTAAAGGCCCTGTTTATTTAGAAACTAAGTTCCCATGGTGCTTCCTATGGAATCCTTTATAAAACTGCCAATCTTCACAACCTCAATCTGACTTAGCAGAATGATTGCTTTTGCAGTATTTAATTGTAATGCTCAAATGACTGTTGAGAGCATGATATATATGTACATACCTGAAGAATAGATATATTAAGATATTACTTCTGAAGTTTTCTCATTTGATATCCAGTGTATGGGATATAACTTACCTAAGCTAACCACTTAACTATTTCAATAGTTATTAATTAATTTCAATAAAATGGAATACTTTTTTCACAGAAGTTAATCACATTAAAAGTGTACTGGTTTCCTGATACTGGCTTCTCAAATTCTAAAGTCAGAATGGAACAAAGAAGGTACTTATCCCTGGAATGACACAATAAAAAGAAAAGTTACAGCTGTCTGCAGCTGGATATAACTACAGTAGACTAGATGCAGATTACAAGTCGAACAACAACTGCTAGCGAACAAATTAAACACATCAAAAGTTATATTTATATTTGGTTATTTTACATGTGACCTGTTGTGTAATAAAACATCTTTATTTGGTTCAGTTTATCTTCTACATGACTTGGGTAAGTGCTTACAAATAAAACTACTTCCTTTTCTAATTTATTGGTGAGGTAACTGTACAGACTCTACAAGTGAAGCTGCAGAATATGTACATAGTGTTAAATAGAATTATATGGGATAATATTATAAATAAGAATAACATAAAAATGTTAGCTGTAATATATAGTCCAGTTGGTACCTGGTGCAACAAATTGATTTAAAAATAGGCAATCTGCATAGAGAGGTTGGAATAGCACTCTCATACACAAACAAATATGCTTACTATGTCTTGTTTTTCTGGGTAGCTAAATTAATTTGCACTGGAATTTTACTCTGCATATCCAAGGCTACATGCGTATTGTCTCCCATTTTTTGCAGGCTGCAAATACTTTTCTAGGCCTGCCAGAAAGCACGCTCCTGGAATTGAGAGGTTTTATGCTGTAATTTGTCCCATGTCTCATTTTTCCTTTATGTCATTTGGCTCATGATAAAAAGCAAAAGTCTATTTTGAAAGCCATAATAAGTAAGAAAATACAGACAAAATTAGAGGTTGAACGGAAGTAATTTTTCCATTTGGAGGGTTAATAGGTTACTTTGAGAGGTACAACAAATGAGATTATCAGGGTTTTTTATCAGGTTGTGTATTTCATGCATTGGTTTTTTCTAATTGCTACATTTTTTATGACATCTTTTCACTTTGGCACCCAGTCCACATTGTTTTGATTCCCTGTGGCTGAATCAGTGTCTTCTTTGGCTTCTACTAAACACTTACGATTTTTTCATGTAAAATGCAGTTGTTTTTACTGTTTTATTTAGAAAATTTCAGAGAAGCTCTTAGACCAACTCATCAGCTCTTAATCACTCAGAACTAAAACTTGTTTTCACAAGAAGTCAAAGACCAGGGTCTAGGTCTGTTCAGCAAAATTTCTTTGGAGCCACAGTAATTCATAACCCTTACTGACATTAATCTGTAGTTTATCTTCATTAGAAGAGCACTGCTAACACACTAGTTAAACAATTTTAAAATGCTTATCATTTTAACAGCAAAAGTAAGTAATATTGAAGTGCTAATTTTAAACATTTTAACTGAAATTATCTTTATGTATACAGATGAACACCCCGGCAAGATTAGGTGTGCACAGAGCAGTCACAAATAGGTATGTATACAAAATGGCACATGAAACTGTGAAAGCATGATTTGGGATTTGGGAAGAGATCTACTAATACACTTGTGTGGTCGACCACTAAAAATCTTAAAGTGTTGCAGGACTCAGACTTTTTGAAGATTCCACTTACTGCTAATTCATCTCAGGTAAGTCCCTACTATTAAGGCTTTTAAGAAATGTCAAGTATTGATAAATGATGTGATGGTTTCAAGCTACTCCTCAGTTGTACTTCCATGAAATGGTATTAGTTTTGGTGTAGTTACATACTGGGGAAACAAAGCAGAATTTAACTCTCAAAGTAGACGCTACATACTTCAAGGACATAGGAACTTATTTCACAGTCAAGCTTAATCTATTAAGGCACCAACTGTTCTTCACTCCCATTAACCTTAGTAAGAATGCCTGGAAATTCATTGTGCAGCGTAAAGCTAGTGTCATAGTCTTAAAATCCTTTCATTTTAAGAGCTGTTAGTCTGGAGGGGAAATGTACATATGCAGTATCCAAAGACAGAAGGAATGCCTTTCACATACATAAGGACCACGTGGTCCAATATAACCATTTTCGCCTGGAAATCCTGGATCTCCTCTTGAGCCATTGCAGCCATCTAAACCAGCCTTGCCCCTGGGTCCTCCACTTCCTGGTAATCCCTGAAAGACATTTTCATACATTATTAGAGATACACCATGATAAATAGGGAATTTTTAAATTAACAGAACAGTTCAGAAACAAATATTTTAGATCTGAAACAGAGAACATCTCACAGTGGTCCCAGCTTTATACTCTGTATTAGAAATGCCTTCTATTGTGATCAATAGATTTTTTTTTTCATGTATAACAAACAATATAAGTATTCTATATATTTTTCTTAGATGCATAGCAAATATAACAGGGACAGTACTGGTTTGAAAGGGCCAGACTGAGTTCTCACTTGAGTCAAAAAGTAATGCGCTATCTTCTCAGAGAAAGAAGATTCTAGCTCTCTAAAATCCCTCTTATGGTTGCAAACAAAAGCTGAAGACATACAAAAAGTCATCTTAAGCAGCCTCACATTTTTTAATTGATAGGATATAACAAGGTGGAACAGGACACAGCTTGACTCAAGCATACAGTATTTGCAGAGATTATGACTATACATTCAAGAATTAAGGAAGTGATCTTCTAACCTAGCAAAAATTAACCATTGTCCAGGTAGGGGTTGGTTCTACTGCAAATCAGACACTAGGCAGTAGAAACAGTGAGATTTCCCATGGAAGGATCTTTCCACTGGAGGTAAAATTTTTTTCACAGAATTAAACATTTTTGTAAGGAATAAATAGTAATTTTAACCCCAAATGGGTTTCTTTTTGTTTGGTTGGTCCTTTTTTGGTTGGTTGGTTTTGTTTTGTGGGTTTTTGTTTGGTGTTGGTTGGTTTTTGGGGCAGGTGTCTGAAAAATAGTAAGAAAATACTCTGGCTAGTTGCCTGAAATGTTTTTGTCAATTTTATCTTCTTTCTACCTTTAAGGTTCTTCATCCCAATTTGTGGATACTGTTTTTTAATTAACGCATTTCATGAAAGAATATACATTTCTTGGGAGTGCTCTTTTTTTTTGTGCTGAATTTTGGCTTGTGCCCTCCACATTTTACAGACATTCTGTCAACAGTCCCATTGCCAAGTGTGGACAGCTGACAAGCAGATGCTAAGACACCCACTCAGTTTTTGGTTCTGTTTTCACTTTGAAAATTAAACATTTTAACTTTGATCTATATGAAACTAATAATAGCATAGGAATTCACTTCTAATAAACAGCATTTTCAAAAATACTGTAGCTAAGAGATACTATTTTTCTTTTACTACACCCATTTCCTCTCTGAAGAAGACATTCAGAAAAATACATAATCACATGCTTATAAAGATATATTTAGGACCCACTTTCCTTACTCAGTCCCTATTCACAAAAAAAAAACCTAGGCTGAGTTTTTGGGGTTTTTTTTCACTGCAAAAAGACTACAAGCAAAAATCAGAACATTTGAACAGAAAACAGTACATCATTTGAGATACTTTCAGAGATATTAAGAATGCAGTAAGCAGGCTACAGCCCGCTATAGAGCCTGGGAAAATTGTTTTTAATCCTATCACTGCCCCGTGCTGCAAGGACTTGGGCTAGTCTCTAGCTACACTGCCTTGTTCCTGCATGAATATTATGTACTTACCTGATTGCTATTTTGTGGAGTTTGTTATCAATAGTAACCAGTTGGAATTAACCTGGCTATTTTGCACTTTTGCAAAACATGTAATTCTGCAGGTGACATGATATCAATAGGTATAACATTTTGAGTGTATTATTCTGTTAGAGGACTTGCTAAGACTTTATAAAAACTCTAATTTTTATAAAGCAATATTCATTCAATACGTACAGGAATTCCATCGAAACCAGGAAATCATGCCAGCTAAACCAGGAAATCCTGGAACTCCAGTTGGGCCCTAAAAACAGGTGACATGAAAAAACAAAGGTACTGAAGTCATTAACTCTTAAAAAAAAGAAAAATGAGAATATGTGATACTACATAGCAAACCCCAAGAAACAGTCTTGTTTGAAATATGAATTGAAAGCAGTAAATGTCAGAAATAAATATCTGAAAAAAGTTCTATGAGCTTATAGGAGACTAGTGGCAATAGCTACCCATGTAACAGATGATACTGTGCATGACAAATGTCTCTCATGCTCATTCTATATCATAAAATGACAGAGAATGGGAAGTAGACTTTAACTTATAAAATAATTCTGTACATAATTTCAAAAACCTGCTCCTGTTTTGATAATATCAGCAGCACATTTTCTACTTACAGTACTCAGATTTCAGGTGTGCTAGATACTCTCATTAGCAATTTCAGTCATCCACTGAGATCAATGAAATTAAACCATTAAAGATAATACAAAGTACCAAGAGCCAAGGACAGGGACTGTACTGCTATGAAAGATATGGACCTGAACTGCAGTTTATACTCTATAAGTGGTAATAAAATTCTGTTTAGTGTACAACAATTTTAAAAGCATCATAATCATCCCTCCAGCTCCACATTCCTCCCACAGCCACCTTGGATGTTAAGGAGGATGACATGATATGCAACAATCGGAGACTATGTGTTTCATTTTATTTTTGTCTTCCAATAATTCTAACTCTGCAATCAACAGCAAAAATCCCCAGAAACATTTTTCAAGAAAGCTGTAATTAATTTCAGTGAGAGTTTCATGTGAGCAAGAGTATAGTTTGGCAAATGCTTTTTGATCATTCAGGTTCTATTTCACTTGCCAATATTTAACATTACATACTGTATACACCTAATAGAGCTGTCTATGGTGTTTCCTACCTTATCACCTCTTTCTCCAGCTGGCCCAGGTTGCCCAGTCTCACCTCTCTGTCCTTTTTCCCCTGGTAGACCAGCTGGTCCTGTAGACCCCAAGGGCCCAATCGGACCTTGAGCTCCCAGCTCACCAGGCTGACCCTGAAAAGAGTCCAAAGTGAATGACTACTGCTGTAAGCATTGCAGCAGGCAGCATTTCAGAGATGACTGTATGGATAAGAAAAGGCTTACAATGTACACATACTCATGATTCAAAACAGCTTGCTTGTACAGTATGCAGACCTGTTCCCTTCATTAGATGCTCTAGGAAAACGATCTTCAAATTTAACAACTTGCTCCAGGTGGTAATTTCTTTCCATCTTCAGCAGGTCCCCAGCACCACCTATCTGAGATGTCTGGGTTAAATTGCAAGTCTTCCTGTCTCTACCAGTGTAAGTATCACATTCTGTAAGCATAAGATTCCACAGAGCATCCTACATTTGCCACCAGAGAAGTGATGGCTCATTTTAGACTAAGGGACTTTGTATACAATTAGAACAAATTGAGAGTTCCCTCTTTCTCTTAAGTCATCCTACATGCTAATTATCTTGTTTTTCTAGCTCACTGATCTTCCATCATCGCTCTCAGATCTTAATGCCTTACTTAGAAGTTTCCTACAGGAAAAAAAAAAAAAGCTATTAACCAACATATTTACAGAAAGTATTAATTCTATTAGTTGGAATTGTTTGAGAGGCTGCAGAATGTAATTTATGTATAAACAACTCTAAATTGAGTATCTGTACCTACAGTACCACATCGACCATCTCCATGGATTTCTGTGCACTCTTCCAAGCTAAGACACATTCTCCTGAAGTAAAATACTTCCCATGCCAACTGGATTTTTCAGTCTATTGCATTGCTGGGGAGTTGTTTTGGATTTGTTGCAGCTTTTGTTCTAATAGCTAAACAGCTATTAAATCATAGATTCAAAGTGCTGAATAAAGCAAGTTTTCTAACCAGACTCCACATGTGAGCTGTCTGCATTTTCACCTTACAAAAATCTATGTATTTACAAGTCTTATTTCTCTTACTCATCTTTTTTATTTTGTGTCATTATCTTTGTTTAGCTACAGCTGCTTTTGTTTACCAACTGTAGAGTGTTTTGCTTTCTTTTCAGAATTTATAAATCAATTATACCATGTTATTAAAAAAGAGAGCAAAATGGAGCCCCATGCAGTCCCAAGAAAAGCATATGGCTCTAAGACCACTTGAGGGCAGTAAAAGATACTTCAGGACAACCTCCATTCATAGAAATGAGAGACCATAACATTTGTTTCTATGAATGGATTGAAGGAAAACAATATGATAGAAACCAAAGGTGATACAAAACAAAGCAGATATGTTAGCTTCAGGAGTTCAGTTCTGTTGCGTCAACATAATTTAACACTCCTAACAGACTGAATCTGAACAAAATCTTATCTTTTGAATTGCAAGTGGAGACCTAAACCTCCTTTCCTTTTCTATTTATCTTTTCAAATATGTCAATATAATCAGTGTGATTTTACAGCTAGACATGAAGAAATGTATGGTATCCAATAAAATCAGCAAAGAACTTACTACATGCTTGGAACAGAAACATTCTATAGGCTTATGCTGTACTGGAAGCAGGACTTCATCACCACTGGCTTTGAAGCTATGAACAGGAATTTAATCCAGAGGCTAGGAAAAGAAGTCCTACACTTACAAATAAGGACTACCTGAAAAAGTATCCTCATACAATTCATGTTCCATTTGTCTTTACTGCCTCCTCTCACTTAAACCTTGATCCTGCTTCCAGTGAAGTCACTTGCAAAAATTCCAGAGCAGAATCAGCATGTTGCCTTCAGCAAGTTACCATTTTCTTAATGCCATAATTTCAGCAGTATAAAATATTATGCAAATTAAGGACTACTACTATTGAAATGTGCTGATTCTGCATCCTTGCTAACAATGAATGAACAGTCAGGATTCTGGGTGTTTAATTTGAGTATTTGCTTGCATGAATAATTGCAGCCTGTCTATTGGCAATGCCTTGCACATCCTCTGTTGTAAAACTGAATTTATTCATTGAAGTACTCTTAAAGCAGCTATTACACCCTTTAAATACTTAATAAAAAGATGTCTGGACAACCATTTTTTAATCAAATCATAATCTTGAGTATAAGAAAAGTGAAATTAACGAGACCAGTAATACAGTAAAATACAACTGTTTGGGCTGTTCAGTCTACTGGAAACAGTACCTTTTCTAGTACGCTGAACTAGCGGTTATCATGCAAAATGCAACATTCAGCAGCAGGAAAAAACTTGCATAAGATGTTTCTCACTAATGCTCTAATGCCTTTGCCTTAACAGAGTGTCTTGTTGACAACAAGTTTCTGCAGCAACTTTGATATTTTTAATTCATAGTGCATATGCTCTGCATTCAAGAGTTGAAAGTTTTCTTATGTTATGTCCACTGGACAGTTGAAGGAACATGATTTCAATAGTACTCAAAAAAAAGCCAAGACACTGTATGAATTCTACGGTTATTATTTGTCATAATTAACCAATAAACACTTCCAGGACATGTAGTCCTTTAGGCTGATAAAATGGCTTTGTTAGTTGACCCTGTGAATTTAATTGACTCCACAGTTTATGTCTTCAGTAGGAGGTAGTGAAGTCATAAAACAGAGTCACTGAATCCAGAATTCACAATAGGTTTGACAGCTGATACAACTTTAGCATGCCATGTGAAGCTGGTGGATTGTCTCTCTCTCTTTCAGCTCAAAGACTGATAATGACTGGGAGCTTTGTTAAGACCAAACTGATACCATGTCATAACATCTATTATCACATCTATTATTTGTGCCCATCCAATGTGTCTACGACAGCATTACAGTCTCAGGACAGCTGTACAAATAAAGAGGATGAAGGTAGTCATGCTCATGTGGAAATGACAAATTAGCTCAGTTAAAATGAACAGAATATTATGCCTGCTCTGCCATCTGATGCCAATAAATTCCTTTAGGATTTCAATGCCTTGTTAATTGTCTAGGTCAGGAACTACCCATGCCAAGACCATGGTCTGTTATTTTAGCATATCCTGGGCTTGACCTGCAGTAAGAAGCCGACTTTTGACAAAACAAGACTATATTTTTTTTAAGTATGCTTCCTAAGACTAAGACTGCAAATACTTTAGGATCATGCAGCGAAGTATTTAATACTCTTTGGAAACGGCAATGGCCAAGGTTATTTGGAATTATTTTTTTTTTGTTGTCTAAGACACTGAAGAGCACATGATTTTTTGAGTGCCCTGAGCACTATCTGAAAGAACAATGTTTTAAAGGAGTCTTAACTGGGGGAGAAAAGAAAAGTTCATGATATTAAAGTGAATTCTTACTTCTCATTATTGATAAAGTTGAAAGAAGTCCGGTTACTGCCTTCAGTTAGGACAGTACCCTACGTTACAGGCTGTGGATGTACAAGTGATATGTGAAATGCACTTACCTTCTGTTCACATGAACAAAACTGAAAATGCCCAGCAACTCCACATAATCAGATTGTAGGCAAATAATATAGTGCCCTTTGTCATTCTGCACTAGACTCCGGCTTGTAACCAGTCTTCCCCATTTTACCAGGAGCAGGACAGCGATAGGGAGGAAAGTAGAGCAGTTTGAGGGCAAGAGAGGAGGGCACACAAAGGCATTTGCAGACAGATGTTTTCTTTTGTAATTTGCTTAGTGAGGTGGGAGCATCTGCTGCAACTCTAAGCTCCACCCGTGTCCTCTCCCCTTTTGGAAGAGCAGGTCTATTATACAGCAAAGCCACAGCTTCCAGGGCTTGTAGGAGTGTCCATTCTGGGAAGTTCCACTCCTTCACTATAACTGTGTGGGACTGGGACCAAGATCATTTTTACTGTAAGTCAAGGCTCCAAAATAAACCTTCTCAGTATTAGCTTTATCAACATGAGATAAATCTATGAAAGCACACAGCTTGGCATTAAATTCACTTCTTGTCCTTAACAGCGCAAATTTTTCTACGATAGTGGGTTAAACAGTGAGTGAGAGTCAGACTAGTACATGGCATGTACTTTATTTTCAGTTTGTTCAGAAACAACAGATCACATAATAACTTCAGTATTAGATAACTTCTTTTTTATAGTCAGATTTTGAGCTGATTAAACGCAATAGTACTTCTTAGTGCTTGGCTTTTCTTGGCATCAGTATTATGCTGCAGAGTACTGGGAAATTCTGTGTTCTTTTATTGTATTCAGTGATCCATCAGGAACATAGTACCTGATGATGCAGTTTAGTATTCACAGTGACACTTCACGGAAGCACAACAAATCACAGTGAAGTGCTGAAAACATTTTTACAGTGCACTTTTGTTTTGTTTTAACCCTGTGAAATCGTGAAAAGTATCCAATAAGCCAGTGGGTGTCACTATTGTGTTAAACAAACACTGAACAACAGCTAATTTGGCACTGAAGCGCTAAGAAACACAGTTAATGGCTGAAAGCAGAAAGTTGCAAATAGACCATTTTAGATCACAAATAATAAACATCAGATTAGCAAATAAAATAAAATTTTTATCTAATTCATTTTATTGAAACAAGTCACTGACTGGTAACTTTTGGTTGATTCAAATCTGCAAAAAAGAAAGATTTTGCAGTTTTGTGTGATGTGGAAAAGCTTGCCAATCTGAAGCAACTGAGAAAACCACTATTTTACTATAGTGGAACAGCGTACAAAAAGTATTACAGAAAGAAAGATGCTTAAGAACAAAAGGAGGGATAATTTAACAAGATCAAAACTTCAGAAAAATTTGGAAACATGTCTAATATGAAAAACGCTAATTTACAGATGCTGTAGCTGGACATCGTATGTGAAGAACAGCCTCGCAGAGACCTTTCAGTGAGGACATTGGAGTGATCCTGTTCCTACTCCACATTCTGGTAAGCAGGCTCCATTTCCTACCAGTTCAAATCCTAACTTCTGGGGCCATAGAACTGCCTACTGCTCTTCCCAGGTAAAAGAAAATGTGGTCTGCTTCAGATATAGAGGTCTAATTTCTCTAGGTCTGTTTTTCTATGGTTCTCAGCAAATGTAAGTGAAATGCAATCTATAACTGGTTTCAGGAATCTT